TTATATTATATTATATTATATTATATTATATTATATTATATTATATTATATTATATTATATTATATTATATTATATTATATTATATTATATTATTATTATAATCCCATGAGATTTCTTCCAGCTGCAGAGAAAGTCCCACTGAACTAGTTTGGATTATCTGAGTATCTGATTATGTGGTAGACCTCCATAAAGGTAAAGGTCCCCCTCGCACATATGTGCTCGTCTTTCCTGACTTTAGGGGGCAGTGCTCATCTCCGTTTCAAAGCCAAAGAGCCAGTGCTGTCCGAAGACGTCTCCATGGTCATGTGACTGGTATGACTAAATGCCGAAGGCGCTTGAAACGCTACTACCTTCCCACCAAAGATGGTTCCTATTTTTTTATTTGCATTTTTTACATGCTTTCAAATTGCTAGGTTGGCAGAAGCTGGGACAAGTAACAGGAGCTTACTAGTTACATGGCACTAGGGATTCAAACCGCCAAACTGCCAACCTTTCTGATTGACATACTCAGTATCTGAACTTGTTAGGATTATCTGATTAGACCTCCATAGGATACCATTAACAAAATAGACTCTGAACGGAATACAGTATAGATGGAAATGTTGATTTCATCTCTTTAATCTTAAATTATATGAGAAGAGTGAGAGAGAGGGATAATCCTTTAATCTTCCCATAACTGCAAGAGATCCACCACTAAAACCCCATCCCCCAAGCATGCGGCCTTCTCTATCTGTTCCCAAGGGGAAGACAAGCAGCCTGGGGGAAATCCTGTATTAATAAGCAGAATATAATAAAGTAGTTAACTTTGACTCTGCACGTGCAGGTCTGTGTTTTTTTGTGTCTAACAATATATAAATAATTGTACAATGATACTTAAAAACATTCCATAAGGAGTTCATTCAATTTCTGATTTCTCTGGTAAATGTAGACAGCTGCTCATCACATATGTGATTGTAGACAATGAACAAAAAGAATACAATGCATAAAGGGGGGGGGGGGGAATCCACTGGGTCTCCTTTCTCCACTATGTAATCAAATAGATATTGCAAAACAATAGAATATATAGATCTACGTTACATGTAAATTACCCGGATTCTTGACATTCACTATATTCTATTTTTTGTTCACTTTTTTACAAGGCCGTTCTTCAGTTTGATATGACTGGACTTACTGTAGAAAATCCCTTGGCCAGTTGCCTTACAACGGAGCAGTGCTTGGTATTATGTCAAGAGAAAAGTACACCTAAGAGCCAAAGTCTGCTTTATAGGCAATTTCTGTCACTTTTTAATCATGATCCCAGAAACAGCCGCAACAAATCACCTTGTCTTATCTACAAACTCTTTTGAGAATTCCTGTCTGAGAGTAATACACAACTCAGCAGTTGCTAAGCACTTCTGCCCACTAGAAAAAGAGGTGAGGACAAGTAAAGAATTTGATTTCCTTAACAGTTTGTGGAATAAACTGCAATTGGTTGGACTTGCATAAGAGAATGTACCTAAACAATAGAAAGTATTCTAAGGCTTTGTACAATCTTATGAGCTCACTGGTGATTTGGCCTGGTTTTGGTAATGCATTGTGTTTGAATAGATGTGAATTACAGTCCCAAAGTGATCAAGTCATTTCTCAAAGCTGCTGTATACCCTATAGGGCTTTCGTAATCTGCTTGGGGAGCACATGTTGACATATACTCCATCATATGTTATAGCAAATTAACATTAAAAATCCATTTACAGTTAATTTAGTCATCCCTGCAAGTTCCATCATCTTCATCCTCCATTGTAGTAATAGCAAATCTTTCCACTTTTGAGCTATATAATAATCTTGTTGGAGTCATCCATATATAAAAACAAAATCCCATGACTCTGTAAATCATTGCCTGTCCATCAGTCACAAAAGAAAAGTCTGGTTTCAGATGTACTTTAATCTTTAAAATCCTCTGAATTAATCTATGCATTTGTATTCAAAATTGTTTAGCTTTTTTGTATGTCCACCGAACATGGTAAAATGTAGCCTTCATGTTCTTCGCATTTCCAGCAAAAATTCAAAGTATGTATATATATTCTAGACTGTTCTACACAGTTTCTCTGGTGACAAATACAAACAATGCATAATTTTACATGAATTGTTTTTAAGGTTAAAACATACAGTAAATTTCAGTCCTTTCAGCCACATATTTTCCTGTCGATCCATTGGTATATTATAGCCAAAGTTTTTAGTCCATTTTATTATACATTATTACACTTGTTCTTCTCTCTCAACAAAAGTTTACACATTTTAGCAATAACATGATCATCATGAGTACATAAGGGGTGTGTGATGGCTCATTGATTAAAGACACTGAGCTCATCAGTTGGAAAGCTGACAATCCAGGTTTGAGACCTGAGTGTGCTTCCCTAAGATGGCTTCTTCCAGGTGGTTGAGTAGGATGACAGCACTCAGAATTCCATAGCTATCAAGATTGTTGACTGGAGACTTTTGGGGAACTGCGGCAGTCCCAATAGATCTGAAAAATACTAAGCTGGAGAATGCAATAAACACAACAAAATTATAGCACCTATATCAGTTGCAGAGATTCACCAATTGTTACATCACTATCAAGTTAATACTCATAGCCATTGCATGTAAGTCTCATTTCCCCCCCCCCCAAAAAAAATCTGGAACATCATACGTTTCCATTGTCATCCATTGCAGGTCCCTTCATGTCACAGGATGTTCCTGGCAACATCCATTAAATAAACTGTCCACACGCATCACAGGGAATTATTCAAAAGTTCCCAGCAGTGTCTTAGGAAACATTTATACAGATCACGTGCGCTGAGTGGTATCTCTGCCAAGAACAAAGCAAAACAAAACATTCTGGATGAGGGACAGAAGAAATTTAAATATTTGGTCTACCCAAACTAAATGTTAGTGTAACTCAGATCATGTATTCCCATCTGCCATTCTCAGCCCCATTCAAAGCATCATTTTAGGACAATATTTTTATTACAGGGAAAATAGATGTGTATTGAATGGTAGCCATCCAATGTTTTGAATTTTAATTCCCAGTGGATCAGCCAACACAGCCACTGGAAAGGCACTTTAGATTAAAAACCTATGGGAAACACAAAGTTACTTACCTTTCCTTTAATATGGGATGGTTCTAGGGCAAGACATATAAATAAGGAATTATATCACAGATCACAAGTATCAGAAAATCTTGCCTTCTAGGTGCTTTAAAACTACATCCTAAATGCTTCTCCCCAGTCCCTGAGCCAACAAAAAAAAACCCCAATGCCAGAATAATTTAACATGAGTTACTGTATAGAAATAGAAAAATTTGAACTTCTGAGTTACAAAAATCCCAGTTAGGATATATCAGTTTGGTTGAAGCCTGCAGAATTATGTCTTCTACTACTACAGGAAGTAAGTTCAGCATTAAACAAATAAATACAGGGTTATTTAATTCAAGATA